AAAAAGTTTCTTTTGAGACTTTACAATATCAATGTCATGAATAAGTTTATTCATCCGGGTAGTAACAAATTAGTTTTTCCGGAGTTCTTAACAACTTTTGTACTATAAGATCTTTTATCATACCATTCATATGGTAAATGTCTCCTTCACGGAGAAAATTATATCATAATAAATTGTCATGGTCAAAATCATCATAAGCAAAATCATTTCTTGCTTTAATTTTGCCTTTAATAACTTTTATAAGGCATGACAAAATAATATTTGGCATATCACATGTACGCGACCAATGACATATTCATGTAACCACACAATAATATTTATTCTCTTTATTTTACTCAAACCTCCCTTAGAGGTGAGTTGTGTGGTATTCATATAATCATGAATTGCATGTCTTTATTCATTGCTTTTATCACATATTGCCACATTCAACTTTAGGAATGGGTTTGCATTCTCAATGCTTATCATAAGTCACATTCTCTTCAAGGAATGGATCATAATCAGCGACGTGCTTTATTATTTTCATACCAATTTGATGGTAAGCATTGCCTTCACATTTTGAAGGACTATTTTGAGAACCCTTATTGTTCTCCTTTTATAATCATAGTGATGATTATTATTATTTTGATATTTGGAACGCCCACGTTCATTGTTCAACCACTTGTCTTCATTGAAACTTATTATGCACTGTTATCACATTCACTTCAAGAATGGAGCAAATCAAGTGGGACAATTTTCATGCCTTTTCATGAAAAATATATTATTTTTCTTTAGTCATCATTATATCATCAATATGGTACATTGGGACTCAAACCCAATGTCTTACCAATATAAAGGCATGTTAGGCCATAATAAATTGGGACTCAAACCCAACTCTTATCATTATGGAGCATCAGGACTTGATCCCGATGTCTTACCCTCAATCAATGGCATAATAGGCTAAACAATATTGAGATTCATTCTCAAGCCTTAATTTCAATCACATGCCAAGAAAGTTATACACAACTAATTTGCAACTTAGCAAATCAAATTTGCTTTCTTAAATAAGTGTACAAATCTCAAATTAGTGTAAATCTTTATTAATTATTTGTAGCATCTATATGAAATACAACCGTTTGTAGTCAGAATATTTCTTCTAAATTCTATAAGAGTTTAAAAGGATCATAAAATCATTGTCATAATATTTATTGAGTCTCTCTCAAAAATATTGTTGTTTTCGGGGTATACCCTACCTATTGGATTTGATTTAACGCCATGACTTTCCTTCACTCAATTCAACCAAGCAATTAGTGAATAAATTTATCAAAAGTACACCTAACACATATATAGTACTAATACATAAATTCAGCATTTATATTACCTGAAAAGTGACATTATAGGTAACAACTTACCAGTTGTAGTTTGTGCATCATTCATATAAAATACTTAAAAATGGTAAGTCAGTAGCAAGCATCAAGTAGGTCATGGATACTCAAAAATACCTCTTCTAGTAGTCATACTAATCATTGTTTGCTTTCAAATGATACGACCATAAATTATGAAGTATACTTTCTCAATAGCTGGTTTGTTTTCCAAATTTCAAAGAAGTAATTAATCAACCTAGATAAAGATGTGAAGTATTTCTTGTTTTCTTCAAGATGATTTATGCTTTTAATCAGTATGACCAATTTTATTTTATTTTTTATTCCTTTTTTTTGGTACTATATGCAAGTGTAAAAATCCAAAAGGAAAAAAAATATTCATCCAAGTAAAAGAAAATGTTTAAAGCGGCAGGACAGATTGAAGATAGTTAACACATAAATATGCATAAGACAATTTATATAAAATATCCTTGGTTACCATGACATGCATCATATCAACAATTAACTGCTACTATGATTTTCACATATAGAACTTCGAAAATTTTATTCCATTCATGTGATATAAAAGATGTAATATTAATATGTGCTTATGCAATACAGGTGTAGTACGAAGTTGTGTGCATATGAGATTTTAAAGGAATGACAAGTATAAGATAATCATACCTTCTTACATTTCATTACTTACCATATGTAGTTTCTCTTTACATTTAACCATGTGATATATGTATGGCTTCTAATTGTAATCTTTCCGGATGTAGAATTTTTTTTGTAGATATATATATATACAATTAGTTAGTGACTCGTGCTGATAACGTGTTATGAAATAAAAGCAATTTAGTAAAACATGAACAAGAAATAAAAGCAATTTAGTAAAACATGAACAAGAAATAGAGATAGAGAGAAGGAAGAGATTTTCTTCTTCAATTGTGTGTATTTTCCTATCTATTACAAGACCTTTATATAGGCATGAAAAGTGAAGAAAATATGTCATGGAATATGTCATTGAACATAGAAAATATGTCATTGAATATGTCATTAACCATTTGAGAGAACGATCATGGAGGAAGAGTAGACATCCACCATATTTTGATTTTTATCATAACATGTACATGATTGTTTTGAGCGTGTACATTTTTCTTTATGGACAAAGCAGCCACACTTTGTTGCATGTACCATGAATACGTGTGAAAAACTTGTTGAATTAGTGGGCTCGCTTAATTTGTCGTCTCACACGTCTAGCTATGTTTTTGAAGGCTATTTTGTCAAATAGTAGTCTTTATCATTGTACATTGTGATACATCCATCCGTGCAAATAGTAATCTTTTTGGAGTAAAAATTCTAATGGATGGAAAAATAAATCAATTTTTTTTGAGAAGTCTTAATAACTAAGACTACACTTGGGCAAAGAAAAATTATTTCAGCAGCCTCAAAACCATTGAGAAATTTACTTATAATCACTTGAAATGATTAGTGCAACATCACTATTTCAGCTGCCTTAAACCATTGACAATTTTACTAATAATCACTTGAAATGATCAGTGCAACATCACAACTCTAATGCCATTCTTTTTAGCAGTATTTTTAAGGGATCGTCCGTTTAGAAGGATTAGAAGAAATCTTTCAGAATAAAGTTCCTCTAAAAATAGCACAAAGTTTTGTTAGAAAGATTAAAAAATAATTTTCACACAAGTAACAACACTTTTATTTGACTGTATAAGAAAAAAAATCACTGCATAAACTAATGCAGAATTCAATTAGTTTGCGATTTTAATTAGTATTTGTATTATGTACTTTTTCTGTCTTAGTTTTCGTGATGATATTTGACTGGTCAATGGCCATAGAGTTTAAGAAGAAAAGGAAGACTTTTGATACTAATATTCTAAATGAGCCATAAATATTTGTATTAGTTATAAATCATCTTATTAAGTGTACAATGAGTATTTTAAAGTTAAATTATTATTAAATATAAAAAGAATTCTTTTTTAAACTAACTAAAAAAAAAAAAGATCACATAGATAGAAGAATAGCATTTTAGATGGAATAAAATGTAAAATAAGAATACTCATCTTAGCACTATAGAGTTAAAAAAGCACAAAAGAATTACTACAAAACCTACAATGTTAGAATACAGGTTGGTGTCGGAATCTTATAAAGGAAAAGGGAGATCATTTTCTATACAAAAAAGTCGTACTAATATTTATGTAAATAAAATTAGGTAAAATAATCAAATTAATATGTTAATTAAGAATATAGTGTTTTTTTTAATGATGTGAGATTGAAAATCAGGCCGAGACACATGTAAAATGTAAAGAATGCAAGTATTATTTTTTAAATAAGACGAGAAAAGCGAATTTGTTTTCTTTTACTATAGGTCTGGGCTTGTGAACAATTCTAGGGGTTTTTGTGCTATACATACATTTCTCTGGTAATAAAAATCTTTATTTACCAAAAAAATAAAAAATTAAGACGAGAAAAAGATTATACTTACTGTGAGGATAAAAGATGAGCTGGATGACATATTCGTGAAAGTGCCAAAAGAATTACTTCGTAATAGTATATATGTTGCACATAATTGTTCTTTATATTTCACAATTTTCCATTTTTTAATTTAGATATTATATTGCTCACCTTTGCAGCAACAAGTAAATTTTGAAATAAAAAAGTTATTCATTTATTAAAATGTTATATGCAATATAAAAGGTGAATTATTATACTTGAATGTGTATATATTTTATATTATTTAAAGAAAGAGAAAATTTGATAATAAATAACGGACGAGGTCGATTAAATAGCTTTAAAAGAAGCTCAATGGGCGCTCTAGAAACTACAAGACATTGGATAGACAAAAAGGAAAAATGACATTGTATAGCCGCTGTAAAAATAATAGTCGAAAATATATATAAAATTTATATATTTTTGTAGATATATACATTTTGTACGTTATATACAAAAAGTATACACTTTTTTGGCTACCAGATGTAATTATTTTCTGGCACGGGCTAAAAGTGATAATACCCCGACAAAAATATACTCTGTTTGACAAAACAGTACAAAGAGGATGTTAAAAGGATATTTTTGAATTGCCAAAGTTATCACAAGCTCGACTTTCTGATCATACACAATTAAAAAAGATAAAGTTATTGTCTGAAAACAATCTAACAGAGAGATGCATGTCATAGACACATCCTAAGTTAAAAGACATGCTCAAAAGCTTCTCAATGTATATTACACATGACTTTTGCCCTATGTAAAAATAAAATATCAAGTTCAAGAGATATGTTTTTAATTTTATTGTAAGCTTAATTTAATTATAATTTTTATTATAATATTTATTTGATAAATAAATTATCTTTACCTTAACGACAAGCCCCACGAACATGGAATAAAAATATATATGAAATCAGCTAAACATAGAGGACTAAATATGTTCCATCATTTAAGTTGCCTCATTCTATTTGATGAATATAGTCAACTTTTTTGCATTTTGAAAACACTTAAAAATTTCTAAATTGTATAAACTTGGGGTTACCACTAAGAATGGATACAAACAATTAAACCAAGATATACATTTAAACACGATAGCCATTGGGCCCGGGCATAACGTCACTAGTACTCCATATAACACACAAATTCTAACCACAAATGATTAATTGCAAAGTTTGATACCTAAAGTGCTCCAAATGAAGTTTAGGGTGAAAATGAAAAGTTACCCAAAAGTAAGGGGCTAAAATGCTCTGCAGATTTATCATTTCTTCCTCTTCCTCCTCTCTCATTCCAACGGCTATCACCAGTAAAATGCAGTACCGGCAAGAGATCGATCGCCGCCACAGCGTGGTGGTGGAGCTACCACTCGGCGACGGCGCTACATGCGACTTGGAAAAAGCAGTATGTAGTCACGGCCTATTCATGATGGCCCCAAACCATTGGGACTATCTCTCCAAAACCCTAGAACGTCCATTGCGCCTCTCCGGAAACATTAATGACGATGATCACGAAAAATCTCATCTCGTCCGAATATCTCAACCGCCCGATTCTCCTCATTCTCTCCATCTTCGTGTTTTCGGCACCGATTCTCTTTCTCCTTTACACCAACGCTCTCTGCTGGTACTCTTTGTTCCTTTTGTATTTTTAAAATTTGTACGTTTTGCATTTCCTTGTATAGTTTGGTTTATTGGTTGGGGTTTGCTTTACTGTTTATATAGGGTCAAGTGAGGCGAATGCTGAGATTATCAGTGGAGGAAAATGAAAGAGTGAGAAAGTTTCAGGAGATTTGTGGAGAAGCAAAGGAGAGAGGTTTCGGGAGAGTGTTTAGATCGCCGACATTGTTTGAGGACATGGTGAAGTGTGTGCTGCTCTGCAATTGCCAGTGAGTAGTTGAACTGAGTAGAGACTGTATAGTATATATAAACTATCTGAATAGAGACTGTAGTATATAATCTCTCTGAATAGCACGTTGAGAATTTGAGTTTAAGTACTATGCATTTGAGCTGGAAAAAAACATCTACACAATCAGGTCAGTATAAAGATATTGTAGTTAACTCTATTTAATAGCATTGATTGGTAATAAGGAATGTACCAAACCTTTGTTAGGTGTTTCTGATCTCATTTCCTGTATTGAAGCAATTCTGAAGTTAGTAAGCTAATAAATATGTTTATTTTGTAAATGAAGTTGCTTGCTACCTGTAATGAGAAGTGAAACTGAAGTCTGTTAGAGCTTCTCAATATTTGATCTGAAAAAGCAGCTTGATTTGGGGTTTGGGTAAAAAGAAAATAAATATTCATAAATCTGTAGCCTTTGCTGATTATCTCAGTTAACATTTTGTATTTGCTACCTTGGGTAGGTGGTCAAGGACGTTGAGCATGGCTGAAGCATTATGTGAGCTTCAATTGGAGCTAAACCGTCCATCATCAGCTGTGTTGCTTTCTGCTGCCGATAATCTGAATCAATTCAAGGGTGTCACTGCCAAATCTGAGCATTTCAGTCCAAAAACACCAGCAGGAAAAGAATCAAGGAAAAGAGCTGGAGTTTATGGATGTTGCAGAAATTTATTGGAGAGGCTCACAGAAGTCGAAGAAATCGTGGATGAAGGGAAAGCGGATGTAAGTGTGAAACCTGCATTTTCAGATGGTAAAGAGGCTGTTCTCCAAATAACTGATGCTTTTCAGGCTACAACTGAAGTTTGTGAAGTTAGTACAAGTGCACCATTCAATGCTGATCCTTCAGTAGATAGAGAGCTGAGCTCTTTTAATCAGATTGGGAATTTCCCTAGCCCGAAAGAATTGGCAGGCCTTGATGAGAGTTTTCTAGCTAAGCGTTGTGGTCTTGGGTATAGAGCTGGGCGCATTATAAAGCTTGCTAAGGGCATAGTTGAAGGCAGGATTTCGCTGAAAGAACTTGAAGAAGCTTGTTGCAACCCAAGCTTGTCCAACTATGATAAAATGGCTGAGCAACTGAGAGAAATTGATGGATTTGGCCCTTTTACTTGTGCTAATGTACTGATGTGCTTGGGTTACTGCCATGTTATTCCTACTGATTCAGAAACAATTAGGCATCTAAAACAGGTAATTTATCTCAACAAATTTGCCTTGGCAGGTCTATTGCTTTGCCAATATACACCTGTGCATATGATGTTCCTCTGAAATGCTCATGGATCAATATATTATTAGGCATCTAAGTCACTTTGCTGTTTCGAAAATTCCAGGTTCATGCAAGAACCTCCAGTATTCAGAAAGTTCAAAAGGATGTTGAAAAAATTTATGCAAAGTATGCACCGTTTCAGTTCTTGGCATATTGGTAGGCTGCTGCACCCTTTTTCCTGTTCCAAGTTATTAATTTTTGTGAGCCTGCTGAAGCCTGAAGTTTTGCTATTGGTTATTCTCCTGAACAGGTCAGAGGTATGGCATTTTTATGAGGAATGGTTTGGTAAGGTCAGTGAGATGCCTCACTCTGACTATAAACTTATTACAGCCGCAAATATGAGACCGAAAAGAAGTGGCAAATGCAAGAAGTTGAAGATAACCCCGGCAGAAAAGCTTGGCGAGTAGGTTATAAGGAAAATGTTGAGTCCTAATTTAGAGTTGGCATGATTAATGCTGAATTTGCTTTTTATCTGTTCATGTAATTTCCTTTACCTTCTTTTGAAGGAAAACGTTGAAGTGACTAATGGTGAATTTGCTTCTTCATTTGGTTCATGTAATTTCCTTTGCCTTCTTTAGAAGGAAATGTTGAGGCCTAATTTAGAGTTCAGACATGATAAATACTCTGTTCAACCCAAACAAAAAAGCAGAGACACGTCCTCTTTTCAACATGCAGGCAACTTTATTCTAGGTCACAACTCACAAATCACAACATAGATGGATGAATTTTTATCCTAGGCTCCTTAACATAGGTACAATAACATTTCACTGTCTTAACTTCAGTATTCTCTTACACAGCTATACATACTTTTATTGATAGTAAAGCAGTTTACGGAAGAAAAGGAAAAAATTACTAGAAGCACAGGTGCCAAGCATGCAATGATTTGCACACCAGTTTTCTTATCTGACATGAAAGAACCAGATGCCATCCTCATCCTTGTCACAATGTCTTCAGAAATAGAATATGCAGCAAAAGGCTAACAATTCTCCGAAATGCAAGTCCAGCAGTTATGTCACCGGTTTGAGAAGGGAACTTTCAAGGAGACGGATAGCCTGCTCATTAAAATACTAACCAAGTTGAGTGCACAAGTATGACCATTTAAGGCAAAAAAATAAAGGAACAAAGTAAATATTCTTTAACTCCAAAGTAATTAACAACCTGAGATTCTTGCCTCAGGCAGTGGCATCAGGCTGCTTTTCTGGCATAGCATCTTGGAAAGCAGGCAGCTTTTGGTAAGCCTCAAATACCCTCAACAGTGTGGGGAATTGGTTCTGCACATTGCATTGACAACTTTTATGAAGAGAACATTCATTAAAGAGAAGAGATGCATACGTATAAGACCACCTAAGAACAATGAAAGTTCCACCAACGACTAAGGTAAATCAAGTGAAATACTGAACTGAATATACCAATTAGCATCTTTGAGAGAAAAATTATTTCTTGGAAGTGCGGATTGACTAAAAGAAGGAACAGACTAGAATAAGAGTTACAAAACAATGGAAATGGCTAGACACTAATTCACAGTAAGGTAAGGTAAACTAACAGGGAACAATTAATTATGGCTACCGTGACAAATAAAAAGAAGCAGCAAATGAGTACCCTTTCATCTAATCAGGAAAGCTAGTTTTGCAACACATTGTCTGTAGAAAAAACATAACTGCTTTTTAGGTGCTCATTATGTATGCCACTATGCCACTAACAAACAATTCACAAAATCAGGTGCTAATTATCTGACGCACGCCGCCATATAAAATTCTATATAAATCAAGAAAGACGTTATTTTCCCATGTTCTTCTAATATCAGAGGGCGTGTAGAAATGAGATTGAAAGTCATGTACAGGTGGGATGTCTATAAAGGCACTACCATGTCAACTTCAAAGCGGTTGATTGCTGCATGGATCTGAGGTGCCAGAAATAAGTCGGCCTGCAAGTTGCAAAACAAGTTAAGCATCTGAATTGGATTCTATATGGCATAAAAGTGTCCATATTTTCAGTCCATTAAGAGGTAATAAGACTGAACTAATCCGCGCTTTGCTATTCTACAAGTCAACATTATTTCATTAATACACTAGTGTTGTGGATGTATAGTTCTGGTGCGCTAAATTCTCTTTACTTTCTTTGTCCAAACTAAGAAAACATATGAGACCTATGGGGTAAAAGACTTAGAAGGGCCACAGTGAGTTGCTAAGACCAAGGCATGTTCGAAAAATATGAAGACAGAGCAACATATGGACTGGAAAGAAACAAACCATGTAAACTTCATTTCCTGTCGCATACTTTCCAGCATAATCTTTAAGTAGCTTTTCAAGTGCTGCAAAAGCAAATCTCTGTTAAGAAAACTTCTAGACCAACTGAGATAAATCCTTCTTCTAACAAAACCCATATCCTTCAATATTTTAAGCAAGAACATCCAAATTTTTTTTATAAGGGGAAGAACTCCCACTTAACATGATCATAAGCCTTCTCAATGTCTAATTTTCATAGAATCTCTGGTGTCCTCCCTTTTAACCTAGTATCTACACCCAAGAATCTCAGGTAAAAAGGAAATGGTATGTCATTCAATTTCTGCAAGGAGAGGCAGGCAGAGATGGTATCCAAATCTAGTCCTATGAGATATTGTGAATTCAGATTCAAATTATGGGACCAAAATACTTATCAAAAACAAAATTTATGGGACAGAAATTAAGTTAAAGTTGATTCACATAAATATCCGCAAAGGCATTAAGCACAATATTACCTTCAAACCCTTTTCGCATATGATTTTGAACCCAAGGGGTTGTCTCATTTGGACCAACTTTTTCCTGGATATACCTCTGCAAAAGCCAAAAAAAGAGTAAATCATATGAATTTGTAAACATATGAAAATGACCTCATATGACCAGCGAACAGAATGATCACTTAAACTCACAAGTACAGCAAGATTCTGTAGAGGCTGAATGTTTGCTGCAACAATGTTTGCTGCCTGCAGAAATGGAAAACATGGAAGAAGAAAGTAACAATGCTAAACATAAGAAAACAAAACCTACAACAAATAGTCCAATTTGATGTTGGTTTCTATATCTATAGCAAACTTATATAAGACAAGATACTTCTTTGACATGACAGTTGATGATCATTACATTGAGGATACCAACTGAAAAGCAAAAAATATCATTTTCGCCTCCACCATGTTTTTTTTTCAACCACCTGGCCATGTACCTCAATTGGAAGAATGGCCATCTTACTTTATATGCTTTTAATCAAATACTTAATTCTAGTTTCACCTGCTAAGGCTGACTATAAGAAATGTGCGCTCTTTTTATTTCTTTCTTTTTTTCCGGGGGGGNTGTTAGAACATTTTAAATACAAATAGATGGTCAGGCTGCAAGGTAGCACCAGATACATGCAAGATCTCTACCCTTCAACGTCATGAAAATGCTTATTATCACTAATACTCATGACTGAGACCTCAGATAACCTCTATCGCATAAGCTTCCTTCTTTTTTTAGTCACTCTTGTACTCCAAGAAAATTACAAGCAAGACTAACTTCTACGGCAATCAGCCATTAGTCCAAACCATCCACCATGATCAAGAGAGCCTTAAGATGGTAGGAGTACCTAATATATTTTCTACAAAGGCCAATTCTAGCTATGGTTTGTAAAATCAGGATGTGTTTGCAAGCTGAATAACTTGCATTCAGTCAATTAGTTCGTTGGTTCTCCTCATGGAACTGATTTGATAAATCAATTCCAAGAATCTGAGTAAAAGAATACTTCAGAAAGAAATGAAGAGGCAAAGAGAAAACTTAGGAGACCAGGGATAAATGTTGAGAAAGAGCTATAGGAATTCAAAACAATTAAACTACGACTTTGTGGTAGCAAATAAGGCCCATACTCTGAGATAGACAATAGCAAAGTCCCAAAGTTTTCACTAGCTACATGGTATTTTCATCTGCCTAAGTGAACATCATACTTTGTTCGTGGACTCAGAAATAGATAGACTTGAAATTACCAAATATTAAGGTTACAAACATTTGAGAAGAAGAAACGTTGTAAGTTTAGTTACTCACTGCACATCTAAGTTCTCAAAACAATCAAATACTAAACATATATCCAACAAGAAGCAGATATATCTAAGCCATCGGAAGATAATACTTGAGATGCACACGGTTCTTAGAATACCTAGAACAGGAAATAGATTGAGAACAAGTAGAATTCAACGATATGCTTAATCATTCAGCATTGTACAATCACTTTTTTTTAATAAGTATCGATCAAGTCGTCTTAAGTTCCTGTTATTTTCATATAAGCAACATTGGGTTTAAAAGCAATAGGCTCATTTCCAATATGGAGGGAAGTGTTTCAGCAGGGCTTCCAGTTGATAACCAAGTCAATTTCATTCCAGTGCATCGCTAAAATTCAGTATTTCGGTCCAGCAGCTTAAGCTACATACCCACAATGATATTCAATATTCAGACACCGGAGCACGCGACCAGAAAACTTTTTTTTTTTGGTTGGATAAAGGTAAGATTTTATTGATAAAGTACCAAGATGGTACAAACAGCACGCCACTAAAAAACTTTAGTCACTTTTTTTAATACTAAAGAATTTTAGCTCTTGATGGCCAAAAAATACTATTATCCACTTCTCCTTTGTACCTGATAGTTGATTGCTCTTCTCTGAAGATCCTGAGGCAACAACGCTCGCTGAGGATACTTCTCTTCCAGATACTGCCCAAGAAATCTTCTCATCACCAACAACATAGTAATGACAAAAAATTAGACACTCTTATGGCAGAGCACAAGATAAACATACCATTATGATAGCAAAAGAGTCAGCAATTACTGCATCTCCATCCACCAATGTCGGCACATATCCAAGGGGATTCAGCTTCAAGTATTCTATTCCACACATTACAAAGACCAAAAAAGAAGAAAAAAAGTTCAAAAGAATTCTACAATGATTTGTTTAACACCCCCAAACCCAATTTCTCATCTTTAATCCTAATTAATGACAATGAGCAGCTCCATGTAACATTCTAAATGCAAATACCACTCTCTCTATTGTCCAATAAACTTGCAAACTATAATTCTATCAGGGGAGGCTCTTTTAACTAAAGCGAAAGTGTTAGCTACTTCCAAGTTTCCTACGCCAAACACCTAGGCTTAAAGGCACCTGAGTGGGCAAAATATCACTGTTCACTCGTAATTATTGATCACCAGCAGCACCTTGTAACTTCCTAAAGTAGCAATCTTTCAATTATTCAATAAACTTAAACACCCAAAAAAAGGATAGACTAACCAGGGTTGGTTTGTTCTCCTTTGAGCAAGTTAACAGCTTTGTACTCATATTCCAATCCTAACAAGGAAAAACACAAAAAGGATTAATACAAGATACTCCTATTCTTTTATGATAAGACAAGATTAATCAAAGAACAAGAGAATACCTTTCAAATTGAGAGCTATGCGGACACGAAATGCACATGAGCTCCGCCAATATGAGTAGAGCTGCAGCTTCTTTGACTCCTCTCCACTACTACCACTCTCTGCCTGAGAATTCATCAAACAAATAAGTGGAGTA